GCAGGAAACAAAAGACATGTTCAGAGCAGACATCATCAACCATCCAGCTGCAACAGTTAAAGGAACTCGCTGTTAGAACAAAGCCTGGAAAGGCAAATTCTCATTTCTTATCTTTTTTCCATTTATTTTTTTAATTGTGCAGGAAGGAAGATGTATGATTCACAGATTCACAGATTCACAGAATATTTAAGGTTGGAAGGGACCTCTACAGATCATCTAGTCCAACCTTCCTGCTCAAGCAGGCACACCTACAGCAATGATGCTGCTGAGAGCACTGCTCTGCTGACTGTGGATTACCCAGCAACCTGAAAGACCTGGAGGTGACACCTGAATCCTTGCTTCTCGAAGGAAAACATTTCTTTTTTTAGCCAAGAAAACACACTGTGCATCTTTTAACCCTGGACGGAATAAGGACATAAGTACTGCTATTCCAGAAAGACCCCAGGGTATGTGGATACAGTCAGTGACAGGGCAGCGTGGGGCTCCCTCCCGAAAGCAGCTGTTTGCTGCTCCCCCCCCAGTTCCCCCAGTTCCCCCAGTTCCCCCGACGCTGCAAGAGAGCGCGGAGCACCGGAGCCAGCCTCAATCTAAAGGAAGGGCGGCAGCCTGGGGCATATTTTTATGCCTTTAATTTGCATTTGTGCACCCACTTGGCACATGGGTGTAGCTTAGCACTCATCTCCCCTTTCATAGTTACAATTGATTTCTGAACATGAAATCACTATCAACAGACTCCTGTGTAAATACAGTTATGACTAACGCAGCCTAACCCTGTGATACTTGCTTCCAAGATGAGTACAAATAACAAAGTCTTAAATTGAAGTCTTCATTACATCCTTTGTTGTGAAAATCAAAATGTAATTCAGATCTATTGTTATGCTCACAATAAACATGCCACGAAGGAAAAGCCTTAGCTGCTTCCCAAACAGTCTATATGTGCTCTAACTCAGTCTCGTATATACAGGACTCTAATAGAGACAGACAGTAGAGATTTCTTTTCAAATGCCTCACGTAGGAGAAAAGCCCCCTCAATGTCACTGCTTTTATGCCTCTTTTCTATTTTGATCAATGACTGCTAAATTATATAGGCGCGGATGTATGTAGCAAAATGGAACAATGAGGCGTTTTACATTAGTCTGCCAGCAAGCTGCATGGCCATCTCTCACACAGGACCTGTCTAATCAAGGTTTGTCTACGATTTTGCAACATCTCCTGCGCGTGCTTCAGCAGCGCTGTGCAAGCAACGACGTATTCACCTCGAGCTACAGAACACCTTCTTCCTACTTCATAGCTCTCCAAAAGATGGGCTGGCAAAGTTTTGTTCCTGTTAACAGGAATATAATAAATGATAAACTCAAATTGCCTGTAAGGCGAACACAGACTTGTCAAACGTTTGAAACTCCGGAGAACATAGAGGAAGGCCGGACAACTGCAAACAGGAGGTGTATTGGCCTGTGCCGGGGTGCGACTGGCCCCTGCCCTGACCCTAACCCGGGCCGGGCTGCCTTTCCCGGTGCCCTGCTGGGTCCCTCCCTGCCGCCTGGTTCTCCCCACGCTGGCTCCAGGCATCACCCTAAGCAACGAGGCCCTTTCACAGCAGCTGAGAGCTGGAGGCATCAGCCTTCACAGCTGGCACCGCCTGTCCTGGGGGAACAGAAAGCAGCAATACAAAAGTTATGCCCCAGAGAAGGGGTTTTATTGCAAGAATCGTGTAAAACAAGGCCAATGTGATCCAATGACTTTAAAAATATTTTGAATATCAGCTCCAGAATTTTTTTTTAATTGTTATTCCCTATGCAGATGCCTTTCCTACTTCTCATTTTTTCCAGATGTAACCACCACGTTTTTGTACTCACAACTGTGTGCAGCTTATACAAGCTTGATTTTCAGAGCCAAAAACCAAAACCTGAAAGCCATGTCAATTCGCTTAAGGACAGAGCACAGCCCTACTCTCACAGCCAAGCCAAGTTAAACAGGTTCTTCAAAGATCCTTCCAAAAATACTTCCTAGGCTCACAGATCCCTAAGTCTCTTGGTCCACTTCTGTTTTGCTTCTTTGCCAGATCAAAAGACTTGGTTCATTCTCTTGCCCTGCACAGCTAGCACCATCATAGCAAAAACCTAAGCCAAAATCATGTCCAGAGGTGGGGAATGGTCCAAAAGATTAAGGTGCCCATGGTCAGGACTCTCAGGCAGGTGTCTTGGCCAAGCTGGACAGTGTCTGGATTCTCAAAGTACAAACTCTTTTATTGCTGCTTTCTGCAAAAATCAGGGCCGGGTGAAAGTGACCAGCCTGCACGGAGCAAACCAACATTTAGGGCTTTTGGTCGGTTTTTGGCATGAAGGCAGAGGATACAGTATAGATAAACGTAACTGCCTGGAATAAAACTGTCCCTACGATGGCACTGAACTGTTACTATCATCATCATCAACTCTTTCCTGTTATTACTCGGCATGGATTAATTAATATGCACATCTTTCAGCAAAGTAATGGAAACAAAGACTGCTCTTACCACACAGAAAAGCTGTTCTTTGTCAGAACACAGCAAGCTGCTCATCTATCCTGAAGAAATTAAGTATAGGGAAAATTGTATAAAGTCCACGTTAAAGCCACAGCAACATATCTGTGTTATTTGCATTCACCTTGCCTCTCAGAGCTCTATCTGGACAGTTGGGTGCACGTGAAAGTCTCAAATCCTAGGAGTTTAATAGATGGCAAAGCCAGTGAAAAGCACATGTTCATCCAGAGGTGAAACACAGCTCTAGCTAAGGCAATTATATCCACTTGCCTCTTGCTCAAATGCACTGCTGTAATTCAAACATTCTTGGCACCAGTCACATAGACTAAAAGAAGCAAACTGCCACGTATTGATCAGAGCAGATGACTCTCAAAGTATCCTGTGTTTCACTCGGTCATTAAAGTGTAATCATATTTTCAATCATTTGTCATTTGGTGGAAACGCCACACGGGAATCTTGTAACTCTCCATATTTCAGTAACTCACTAGTGCCTGCACTGGAGAGGCCCAGAGTAACGGTGGGACCAGGAAAACAGCAAAGTTTCTTCTGTGGCATATCTGCTTATGCAAGGTTTTCAGCAGTGGAAATTCTCCCACCCAGCTGACCTTGCTTTCTCATGGCTGCTACATAATATTCCAAATTCACTACAACTTAACTGCAGAAAAATTCCAGGTAGCATAAATGTGCCAAGAAAATGTGTTCCAAATAACTAAAAATGGCATTGCCTAAACAGAGGAAGACACTACAGCACTTAGAAATTCCCCTAGTCTGAAGATACCTTAAGATTTTACTTTTAGGTTTTTTTTTCCTGTTTGAAGAGATGGAAAAGAAATCATCTTGTCATCCATCAGGCTGCTTCCACTGGAAGCTATTATTTACAAATGCAGAGCCAAACTCATTTTGTAATGGATTTCTAGCAAGTTTTACATCACTTTGATAGAGCACGTCAAGATCTTTTAAAGTTCATTGAATTTCATAACAGCAGATTTCAGCAAAAATGGGGGTTGCTGTGTGTGCAGCACTGAGAAATACCTTTATTATTTTTACAGATGCACCAAATGCCCCTGTGTTTATGCTGGTTTAGTGTTTGTAGAGTTCCACCAGAATGGCAAATTGAGAGAAGCAAAGCAGAGTCACGCAGTCATCACAGTGATTTAGATAAGCTCAGTCCTAAAATAATACCAACATTCATGCTCAGTAGGCAGTGAAACGACTGTTTTCCACAACTGGGCGCGTGGAAAACGTGAGGCAGTGATCAGAAACATAATGTTTGCTTTGGAAAAGATCTGCTGCTTGGTCCTTCCAGAACAGAGCTCTCTGAAGGAAAACAATGCTTCTGAGCATCTGTGAGAGCCACGGCAAGCACCTGCAAGGCAGGCTGCACATCAGTCACACCGAGGTGATTTGGAATCCACGTCCCTGAGTGCTGTGCACGTTTGGGCAAAGAAATGATGCTAGTTTACAGGGAAGCTGTTCCTCTATCCAGACATGCCACTTAATGCCAAAACAGAATGCACAGAAACACAAAAAAATAAAATGAATTTTACAATGATAGCTCCATCACTCTGAATATTCTCATCCATTCCTAGCCAGTTTTAGAAAATAATATGAACTCCAAGAAAGTTTTACTGAACACATATATCCTTTTATATAAAGAGCTAATGCATTCCCCTGTGAGAATAAAATAGTGGTATTATTTTGTTCATACACATTTTTCTTCACTGAGAGAATGTGCCACATCTCTGAATCATATTTCTTTATCCGTCTAGTATAAAAAAACATTCCTCCAAGGAACACTTACAGTCAACCTTCCTCTGATAAAGAGAGTTTTAAATGTTCTATTTTCATTTTATAAACCAGAAATACGTTGCAATAACAGAAGACTAGAATACAGCAAGTCAGTGTGAACCCAGTGCTTCCTCTAGAGCATGCAGTGGCAGCAGAGCAGGAGGGAAGGCACAGAGACAAGACAGACCATGTAGCACACAGGCACAAAGCAGACAGATCTCCTGCCCTCCGAAATCATAGAGAATTCAGCCAGGGAATTTCCCCAGTGTAGGTGAATTCAAAACAAGGAACCAATTATACCCAATATGCAGGAAATTTAACTCCTAGGTTTTTATCAGCATCACTATACTACGAGTTGGAAACTGGGACCTCATAGCAGGATTTTTGGTCTCTTCTTCTATCCTTCAGCCTCTTGCCTTTAACTTCCCTGTCACTATCCAAACGCATGGACCCAGGAGGCAATCCAGACTGCTTCACCATTTCAGGCAAGTGGGTCATTACATCTGTATTCTGTAAAACGTGTTAGTGTTTATGCACTGTAGCCACCTGGTTCTTCTAGCATTGCCTATTTCACAAACCAGGCAGTGTGAATCTAACCGAGATTAACTTTGTCTGATTAATCATACCTGAATCACAGCAATGCTCCTAATTCCTACTGTGCTGTTAATTCCATTCACAAATACACCCCTCTTACCTGTACACGAGTAGTCGTCAATGCGGATATAGCCGGTTTTGCAGATGCACATGAAGGAGCCCGGCGTGTTCACACACATGGTGTTCTCACGGCAGTAGTGGCGCCCTTCGGCACACTCATCAATATCTGCGAAGAAGGCAAAGAGAAAAATGAGGCAAATTCAGTTCTCTTCAGCAGCTTTCAATATTTTGTACTACTCACTCCATCAGGATTAAGTTAGACTATGGAATTTCTTGAACAGCCAAACATTTTGGGAAATGTTTTGGTGCTCTCCCTTAAAAACAACTGCTGGAAGTGTTCATACAACAGGAGCAGCATGAGCTTTTCATGAACAGGTGTTAGTGGAGTTACAAAGAAGATTACATTGGCTTAGATCCTTCCTAAATCCTTTTGAAGTGCCTATGCTGTTATTCCTATGATTTAAATAAGACCAGAACATAAATGGGGGCCTAAACAGCAAAGCAACTGTCTCAGTACTGCGGTACCAGCAATCAGTGTATTTGATAGTCAACGTAGTCGTTGATACACAGATATGAATACACTACTGTATGGATACCATATGCCTGTGGTCAAACATGTACTGTTTGGGATGGAACTGTAATGAACACACCGAGTTCTTACAACTCTAAAGGAACCAGTTGGTAATTTATTCCATATACATGTAGACAGCCCTAGCTGAAAGGAACATGAAAGAATCTAATTTATAAAAAGATCTGCTCTGATGGAAAGAAATATGCAACTTGATAAAATATTTGTTGGGGAGGAGCACTTGCTGCGCTCACAGTCACAGAGGAACTTCAAAACCTGCCTGGTTTCAGTCCTCACTTTGCTATAAAATTAGACCTACTTCTTGTGACAAGTTATACTTGAATGAAAAGATAGAGAGGACACCACAAATAACTTAGTAATTTCTGCACTCTATTTTTATGCTGCACAGAGGAAAAGCTCTATTAATTTGGAAGTGATTAGCAGCATGCTGCTCCTGTAGCCCTAGTGACGAAGCCAGCATCAGTGAGATGTTCATTACAGCTGGTTGTATCATCATGCAACGTTTCACCAAACCTTGTTAAAGAAGTGCATTAAATATCAAAAGGGTGGATTGCTGGGTTTGTCTTTTTCCTGCTCATCAATTCTGATTTGCTCCTTCTCCTCAGTGATGTATATAGCTTTCAGAGTTGAAAGGAAAACCTCCAGAACAAACTGTTGTCTCCCAGAGTTTGCTGGTAGTTCAAAACAATAGCCTGGACTTATAATCTCATATTCAGGCTTGCTTTCTTAATGCTGAGATGCTAAATGTCAGCAATGATAATTAACTGCTGTACTTCACTCCCCTCTATGTCATATGCTGCTCTCCCAATTCCTCTTGCCAGCTGCCCTAAAGCGACAACTACTTCCCAGCCACACTCATTGCCTTCCCTTAGCCCCATGGAAATCTGCCTTAGCAGTAAGGCACAAGGCAGCACATGGAACACGAGCGATTCCAAACTCATTTCTCAGTTTTGACAAAGCTCTTCCATTTTCCAGCCCAGTTCAGGTAACCCTGTCTGCTCCAGGTCTCCCCGTGCACTGCTCCATGGATTCTGCTGCAGAACCTGGGGGCACATTTTGCATTCTGGAAGACACAAGTGTGTTGATGGCGAGTGCTCAATACTGAGGTCCAGCCTGTCTGGTACAAACCTAGGGGCTCGTGAGCAGCACATTTGAGCTGTTTTCTTTCCTTTTTCTAATCTACAGGCATGCGGATGTGGTAGGGCTGGAGGGAGGGGAAGAAGAACCAATTTGAGGGTGCTGGTTTAGTAAAGCAGGTGGAGCTTTCATGTACATACATACACAAGCATCAAACACTTGTTTACAGGGAAATACATTTTACAAAATCTATCTAAGAAAAGTTAAAAGCAAAGCTAGCCCGAGAGGCAGCTGTTTTGCACAGAAAGCTGAAAACAGCACAAACCTCCCAAAGTACCAACGTCCTGCAGAAACAAATGTGCAGGGCACAAAATCAGTCACTATTTACAAGATTCACCAAAGCTACTACCATAAACGACGCAATTTGTGTGTTTCACAATTCCAGTTCCCAACTCCACGTTAATGGAGGTGTGTACATTTATACTGGAGTTCACAGTGTAAATTTATACTTAATAATATTATTGGCCTCATATTCTTGGGGTCAGACTGCCTGTGTGCAAGCTTTGACATCCGCAGATAATTCTCCTTAAAGATCTAAAGTCTCAAAAATGTTAAACAGAAATCACTGAAAATCACACTGGTGATTATTTTGGCAAATAAAAAGCCCCATGAAAAAAAATCCACTTTTTTTAGAATTTATTTTTAGGTTTCTGCATTACAAACCAAGGAAGCCTGAACTGGGGCAGGGGAGGAGCCAAACATTTGTTCTCTTCAAAAGCTCCTGGAACAAAAGCCTTTTCACCCTGCTTATTGGTAGAAACGCTGGTTTAGCCTTTTCTTCACCTCTAGACACAAATGCATCAGTACAATAGAAAATCTGATGCATTTCAAAACCTAAGCAAGCCGACAACATCCATCTTAATTTTACCCTGCCAAAAAGCCTTGCTGACAAATTAATGTGCACTAACGTCTCCGTGTTTAGCCAGTAAGATCCTGCAGCCGCTCGGCTCCCTGGGGTGAATGCAGCCCTCGGTGGCTTTGCACATTCCACAAGCAAACCTTGTGTGCCGCGAGCGCGCGGCGACGCAGAGCGCCCGGCTGCGCCGCGCGGACACCACGTAGTCATGGAGATCAACCTGGCTCCCCACGGAACGGATACAAGAGGAATTCCTGGAAAATCGGCTGCCACAGAAGCACTTGGCATTGGTGGATTTATACTTGCAAAGCCAACAAAACTCTGCCTTCGGTCCCCGCCAAATATCTAAACAAAATGTATTAAAAATATATAAGCCAAGAGGAGTTTCCCTTCTTCTGTCCTCCTGCTTCCCTGCGGTGGAATACCCAGTTAGGCTTTATAATCCAATTAATAAGCAAAGAGCTTAACCTGTAATCTATAAATCATTACTGATCAAAGCCTCATAACATAGATGTTAACAACAAAGCCTCTTCCTGGGCCTCGCTACCCATCATTGCCTTTACCCACCGCAAAACCTGCCCACACGGACGAGTCTGGGACTTCATTGGTAAATCTGGCTGCAGAGCAAAGAGCGCCTGCTTACATGGTGCCCTGCCTCCCGCCACCTCCTCCAGCACCCCACGGTGTCCAGCAGAAACCATCTCGCTGGCCACATCCAGAGTCATCCAAATGAGGACTAGGGACACGCTTTTGTACGATTTTGGCAACAACTAGCTCCAATTCCCCTTGAAGAGGGCAAACAGAAGCAGTTAGAGATATATTTTTAAAAAATTCTTTGGAAATTTGGGCTCATGTTGCTGCCCCTCTGTGGCCTCCCTGCTGGGAGCCCCCAAGAGATGGACGCCGGTTACACCATGCAATACATAAAGCTCCTTCAGTTCTTGATTTTTATCACTCCTGGCCTGATTCGTTTAGAAAAGGACAGGCTGGGAAAAGCTGACATTTTCTCATCTGGATCCTGACCCGGACAAAAGACATCATAAAATTAGCAGATGTTCCTCACCCACTAAGGGACTACAAAAGACGAGAACGAACAGTGACAGATCATAGCAACTGCTACCAGGGAAAGGTAAACGGGCCTTTTAAACAGTACAAATCTTTCTCAGGAATTACAGGTATGAAAAAAAAATAATAAAAAATCAGCCTGTATCTATCTATGCTGTGACTAGGCTGCCTGTTGTCTCTTGGGACTGGTACCCATCTCTTGCACACAGCCTGGGACAAGACGTGGCCTTGCATTAGCAAAGCAGCGCTGTGGCTCCGCAGGGTCTCCAGCTCGTGCTTGCAGAAAGCCTCACGATGGGGCGGCTCTCGCCCCAGGCTGCTTTTCCTCCCTGTCCCATCGGCCATACCTCTTCCCATAGAGCGCTGCTTTGCCGTCTCCTCTGTAGCTCTTCCCTGAAGTTTTAAACTTTCTTCTATAAACTCACCCAGTTCATGCCCCCTGCACAAGGTCGCAAAGAAAAAAAAAGTTGCCTTTTCTCTTCGTCTTCCTTTCACCTACAGGAGTTTTTCTCACTTCTCTCTCACACCCAGCTTTCTCTGCTGTTCCCCTCTGTCACCCACTTTCTACCTGCCTTGCTTCACTACTGCCTGCTTGTCGCGGACCTCCCTTGGGCTTCAACCCTTCCCCTCCCCAACTCCTTCCTAGAAGAAGGAGAACAGACTCTTGTTCATAGCTTTTTCCCTTCCCACCAAACACACTGATCCTTCCTACTCCCTCAGGTCTCCAATGCCTTAAAACTTCTCAATTTATTGCTCCAATGATAATGTTCTTAGGATGGCCCTTCTCACTTCCCCAGCCATATCTCAGAGCTCCTGTTTTCTTCACACTGCCTCCCTTTTGGGTACAACCCTGGCTCCGTACCTTATGTGCCCTGGCTTCACCACAGTTGCTTCTGGGTGTCCCTTCTGGTGCAGGCCCTTCTTCTCACCTAAGAGGTCTAGGCCCTGCCTGTAAGGACAAAACCCCTGAGAGCTCTGGCCAGGTCCTCTCTGCTCCCTTTCTGCTACTCTTTCCAGACTGTTCATCACCAAGCAAAGCTATAGCTTAATCACCACTTCTATTCCAGTGAGTCACAGACTCATCACTGTACTTCTACCTCATTTTGCTCTAACAAATCCAGAACAGTCATTTTCCCATCTGACATATTGTATAGAGGGTGTACGGAGGATGTTAAAAATCCACTTAAATCAAAACTGTATGTTTTGCTCACTATTTCCCACGTTATTCATCCCAGCTGATTGCACTACCACTGTCATTGCTCACACCTTCTGGAGAAAATCTTTGATTCCTTCTTCTCCTTCCACATGTGCTCATCTAATTTGGTGTTCCCAAAAGCCAGCAATAGGCCAAACTGTAACAGCAGAATTACCCAAGGGTCAGATGTATGTCTGCTTGTTTTAACTACATTATGTAACTTACTTTTCTCCTTTTTGTGAGTGCTTGTCTTTGTGCAGCTCTGCAGTTCTCCCCTCCTCAAAAGAAAACTTTCTACAAGCAAAGATCCAACCCCTACCCAAT